CACGTGTTCGCCAACGCGCAAGCTGACGAGCCTTCAACGGAGTTTGCTGCGGAGGCTCAGTTTCCGCACGAGCAGAGGTGTAATTTCGAATTCGTAAGCGTGGTTGCTGGGGTGGTCCGCAAGCACTCAGCGGTCGCCCTCCGGGACTGTTCCCTCTACCGTGGGCCTGCACCCTCGCGTCTGATAGCGCGGGGGCCCAGTGGTCCCAACCGTGCGTGGCAAGCCCTGAAATTGAACAGAGCGCTTGCCGAATGAGAGCATCAGACTCAGAACCCGAATTCGCCATTTTGGCACTGGTCCCTGTGTGCTGGCCGCACATGGAAACATATTGGCTTTGAGTGGTTGAGGACGCCGTGCCGGGGTCGCGCTCAGGCCCTGGATCCCTTGTCGTTTTCGGGGCGGCCCAGCCACCGACCCCACGAACTGCAGCGTGTGATTCAAGGTTGGACGTCTTGTTCGACGTGCGGCCAGAATGCGGTGGTCAGAGTCCACCCTGACGCCCTGGCCGCACAATGCCGCCCGATTGCCGGACGAGGAAGGTATGATCGTGCGACCCTCCGTTTGCGCCAGCTCCCTCAGCTTTGTGCAAGGGCCGCTTAGGGGAAGCATCCTTGCTAGACGTTCCTTGTCAGGCTTGGCCCCTCCGCGGGCTGCCCCCTCTCAGTTTCTTGGTCCTCCCCGCCCTGCCTCGGCCCTCTGGGCGGTGGAGTGGGGCCCGCGCCTGTTTCTTGTTTCCCCCCGCGGTGCGCCGCGGCCTCGTCGCGGGGCACGGACTCCTCCTCCTCCTCCTCCTCCTCCTCCTCCCCCTCCTCCTCCTTCTCCTCTTCCAACTCCTCCTCCTCCTCCTCCGCCTCCTCTTCGTCGTCTTCCTCCTCCTCCTCCGCCTTCTCTTCGTCCTCTTCGTCGCGCGGGCGCGGAGCTGGGTGCAAAGGAGGAAAGGACTGAGGAGAAACACGGCGGACGACATACCAACCCTTTTTGCCCCCCCCACCCCTTCCCTCCTCTGCACCCGGCTCCGCGCCCCGCGCGGCGGCTCTGCTCGCGATGCCGGACCGCTCCCGGCGCCCCACCTGCCCTCGCCGCCCTCTTGTTAGGCGCCTTCCCACACTCCGAGCATCGGGTGGTTGTCGTTTCTCCTCCGTCTTCGGGGGGCGGGCGGAGACCCCGTCTACGTCCAGCGCCTTCCTGCTTCGAGGATCGGGTGGGTATCAGTTCTCCTCCGTCTTCGGGGGACGGGCGGAGACCCCGTCTACATCCAGCGCCTTCCTACTTCGTGGTTCTGCCCACTTCTTCCGACCGGCGTGTGCGACCAGCCAGGCATGCGTGAAGCCTCTGAGGCTCGCCTACTCGATGAAGACTCGTCACCGCACGGGCTCTCCGCCTCACCTGGTGAGTGCAGTGCCGCACCAGTCACCGAGCGCGTTCCGCTGCCCGCAAAGCGCCTACTCGCAAACAGCCGAAACACACATGTCTGCCTCGATGTGCACGCCGGTCGTGGAAAGTAGGTATTCCTGGATTTCTCAATCCCAATCTACTTCAAGCGCCTCCTACTTCAATCATCGGCATGCTTTTGCCATGTTTTGTTATTCTCTGGGAGGACCTGGACCCAATCCACTATGTCCGCCTTCTGCTTCATGTTTCTACCTACTTCTTCCGACCGACGTGCAATGTATCCAGATCCCCCATGGCGGATCGGGTATGGCCAGGACCCCGTGTATGGCCAGGACCCCGATTAGTGGTAGGGCCCCGGAGCCTTCGAATTGGCCAGAATCACTAAACCAGGTCTGCCATAGCTGGTGCTTTCTCCGGCGACGGCAGCTCCGGCTAGTGGAAATGGGACGGGGGGGCGCCCCCGGTACAGTTCCACGAAACCAGGTTCCACTGAACCCAGTTCTACCAACGCCCGATCCTTCTCGCGAGGAGCTGTACTCCGAAGAGGCCCCAGCCGGCGCCCCGCGCCGCCGCCGCGGTGTGGCCTGCGGCCCCCCCGCGGTCTGGATCGCCGCCTTTGGACGGGCGGGCAGTGGGAGGAGGAGGAGGAGGAGGAGGAGGAGGAGGAGGAGGAGGAGGAGGAGGAGGAGGAGGAGGAGGAGGAGGAGAGGAGGAGGAGGAGGAGGGAGGAGGGGAGGGAGGAGGAGGTCCGTGTACGCCCGAGGAGGAGGAGGAGGAGGTCCTACCAACGCCCGAGCGCCTCCAGGCCAGCTGCGAGCAGCTGCTTTGTGCGAGCAGGGGACTTCGGACTGCGCCTGCCCAGCCCCCCAGGGTGCCGTTTTTTTTTCGGCCCAGGGGCTGGGCCGCCGCAGCGGCCCCGCGGGCGCACAACACGTTTGTTCCGCCGTCTCCCCCTGGCGGGTGCCGCGGGGGGGGAAAAACAACAAAAAACAACAACAACAAAAAACATAAAAGAGCAGTGCCCTCGATTCGCGGAGCGCCACCCCGCGAAGCAGGCCGCCGACACAATAGCCACTTGCACCCCTAGCGGTTCTCACACCGGCGCTTCTCGAGCGACCCCGCCACCGTGCGCTCGAGCGGGGGCCCCTGCGGGCGCCGGCGGGCCTCCGCGCCCGGGCATGCGCGGCGGCCCTTCCCGGCACGCCCCGAACGGCCTCCTCCTCCTCTTCCTCCTCCTCCTCCTCCTCCACCTCCTCCTCCCCCTCCTCCTCCTCCCATTCCTCCTCCTATCCTCCTCCCCCTCCTCCTCCTCCTCCTCCTCCTCCTCCTCCTCCTCCTCCAAGACGCCTCAATCCTCACCCCCGGGGGGAATCTTTGGGGAGCGCCGGCCCAGCATTCTTCCGGCACGCCCCGAACGGCCGCCTCGGCTGCCTCGGGCCCGGACGCCGGAGGCACCGTGGCCGCCTGGAGGCGCGCGCGGCCCTGCGCACGGGGCGGCGGGCTTGAGCGGAGCCTCTCGACCTCGAGTAGAAGCAGAGGAAACTAACACATCATCTCTTAAGCAGAGTGCGAGTACACAAAACCGACCCCAGGTTGCCACATTGTCGGCCCGGGCCGGGTGGGCCAACCAGCTCCACCACCCCGCGCCGGAATTCCTTCAGCTTGTCGATGCCGAAGAGCTCTACGAGGTGCTGTAACGAACTGTGGAATTTCGAGAATGATTCTTAACCGACCGAAGTTCTGCCTTCTAGCGGAGAAGCCACAAAAGGGGGCCCGGACGCCGGCTCTTGGCGCGCGCCCCCACGACGGGTCGGAGCGGCACGCGAGGGCGTGCCGTGCAGGGGGCTCCGACTTCGAGCTCGGGCCTGCTCGGCCTGCGGCGGGTCCGTGCCGTGCCGCCTCGGGGGCGACCCCGGCGCGGGCGTTCGAGGCTGAGCACTGAGCACCGCCGGCGGCCCAGCGTCGGACAGCATGGAACGATCTGGCGGTCGAACAGCCGCGCCGATCCTTGAAGGCTGAACCAGGAGGCGACGATAGGGGCGCATAGCCCAGGGGGGAGCAATACATGTATCCAGGGGTGCCGATGATCTATGCCTTCGACAAGGATCCCGGGCGAATGCGTGTAATGCCCGCCCCAGGGCGATTCGCCCCTATCGTCGCCGCCGGTGAACGAGCTACGCGACGTCAGGCACCAACGCAGGTATCCTCACTGCACGAGCCTGCCGTGCGGAAGCTCCGCCCTGCTCCCCCCGCTGGAGCAAGGCTCCGCAGCCGTTGCTCGGGACCCGCGCTCCGCCGTGGCCGAGACCGGGCTCTCGAAGAGCGGCGCCGCGCGCACGACGTCGTGCCGTGTCGCGTGTGTGCTCCGCTGTGCGTGCCGTGCGCCGCTTCCGCTCGCCTGCACGGTCGTGCCTCGCCGTGCGCCGTGCGAGATCTGCCATGCAGGGCCCTTCCTCTTGTCAGGGTGCCACGGCTCGGGGGAGAAACAGACCACCGCCACCGAGCACCTGCTGGGGGGGGGGTGGGGGGGGCGATCCCTGGGGTCGGTGGTGATGGGCTTGTTTTCCACCACCACCACCACAAGCTGAGGGGGGAAGGATGAGGAGGACGAGCAGGAGGAGGTACGAAGAGGAGGAGGAGGAGGAGAGGCGGTAGAGGAGGAGGAGGAGGAGGAGGAGGACCCCTCCCCCTCCAGCTAATGGTGGCGGTGGTGGAACACAGGCCCATCAGGTGGCACGCCCCCGCGCCACCCGGTGCCGGACGCCACTCGGGCGTGCCACGGGCCAGCGGCGGCCGCCCCCCCCGCGCGCTCGCGGCGGCGGCTGCTTCTCCACGGAGCCGTCGCGCGACTCGGTCTGCCGATCGCCACCGCGGGGCTCCGGTGGCACGCGCGGCGCTGCTCACCACAGGGGATGACGCGCAGCAGGTCCTTTTGCACGCGACCGCCCACCGCGCCTCACGTCATCCAGTGGAGCAGCTGGTCTACGAGCGCGTTCCACTGCTCGCAGAGTGCCTACTCGCAGACGTCCGAAAAAAACACACGTCTGCTGCGATGTAATTTCTAGTAGATCCCCCCTGGCGGATCCAGGCCAGTTGCGAGTAGTCACTTTGCAAGTAGTGGAACGCGCTCGTCTAGCCAAACCGCGGAAATTCCGCCGCATAAGCTTGAAGGCGTTCGCATTCATTGCGCGGTCCTGGAGATTTTGAAGCCAGTGCTTGCACTCAGGAGCTATTGCTTTGAACTGGCTACGTTTCCCAGACGCCCGTACGTACGTTGCCGCACGTACGTTGCCGCCTAAGCTGCCGCACGCCAAGTTGCCGCACGTACGTTGCCGCCCCGTGGCCGCCCCATTGCCGCCCTTTTGCCACCCCGCTGCAGCTTGCCCTGTTTTGCATTGCATTGCATGGCCTCGCATTGTCTTACATTGCACCGCTTTGCTTTGCATTGCTTTGAATTGCCTTGCAATGCGCATTGGTTTGGATTGCGCCAAATGGGTTTCACTAATTGTCTGTTCAGGCCCCACGCTTAGACCATATTCTTGTCTTGGTGTACGGTCCTCCCTCGCTCTTCCTTGCTCAACAGTAGTGTTTCGATCACGCTGCCCAAGGACGGTGGTTGGGACATCAGTGTCTGGTTGGGCTTATCTTGCCACGGCGACGGCATCTGCAGAGCTTATAACTCCATGTACATGAACAAGAGCATATCGTGGGATGACTTCGAGGCGAAGTTCCCGGTTGCGGACTTCCAGGCTCCAGCCGGTGCGAGGAACAGCATAAGGAATATCAGGAGGAGCATTTTGATGAGGGCGGTGCCAGGACGAACCGAGCACCGCGTGCTGCATGTGATGAGAGAGAGGAGCTACCCCACGGTAAGTACATGTCGTGTGCGCGTGCATGGGCGTGCGTGCAAGTACACGCGTACAGACGGGGGCTCACATGCGCGCATTCGCATTTGCGCGAAAGTTTGGTCAGCCTCAAGGCTTGACAGCAAGGCAGGGGAGGAGTATGTTGTACTTGCCAGCATGTCGTCGTTTGCTGCCGACCTGCTAGCGAGAGCATGAGTACCCCTTCCAATTTAGGTTGTCGTGTCTAGTACAATCGCAGAGCATATCAGGGATGTGGTAACCTCCATGAGGCCAGACCCGCTACGGAGCACTCCCATCGTCATGCGGACGAATGTGTGCGAGTTGTTAGGGTGCCAGGGCTTGATACGCAGGCATGCAGACAACCCTCAGCATCCCCACTAAATTCACTGGCTCATCTGACCATCAAGCAACTTCGACCTCCCAACGCACAGAAGGTAAAGTCTATGGGAGCGGTGCATTACATGAGCTAGGGATGCAGAATCTCAGGAGCCAGAGGAAGGGCGAGACCCCCAGTCCGCGAGGTGCTTGACGGTTGGAGTTGTGGTCTCAACGATGACGGTGGCGCTGCGCGCATCACTTGGAGGACACCGCCAAGAAAATTGTGGCAGCAGTTCGGGAAGCCGATCACCCGCAGTGTAGAAGAGAGGCGAGCGCACCTCGGCTGAAGACGAACGGATGAACTCGGGTTGCCTGGGTATGGTCAGGGACGGGGCTGCCAGTGTCGGAGTCGGGGTGGAGCAACGCTCGTGGGCATGGCGCTGGGTCTCCCCGGCCACTCGCAGATTTGGTGCTCGCTCTGTCAATGCTCTGCTCTCCTGGGGCTTTGCAGCGTCGTCCGCACCTTGCATCTGCATGTCCGAGCTCCGTAGCTGCCTGCACGCCCTCCTGTGCTCAGCTGCGTTCTTGTTCTTATGGACACTGCGCAGGCCTGACGAAAGCTTGAGAGGTCCCTTCCAATGTGTGCCAGTGTCTGAGTCGCGGGTTGTGGAAGACCATAGGTGTACTATTCATGAACGCTGCATATTTCACCTCCCAAATACATGTCAAATCCAGTGCCGAGGGTTCCACATCGAATCAGCGAGCCGTGCTGGGGGAAGTGAAGGCGGGATGGCCAGCAGGGTGAGAATGGGGGGAAGCTTGAAGAATGGGTAGATCCGACGAGAGAGAGGGAGAAAGAGAGAGAGAGAGAGAGAAAAAGAAAGAAAGAGAGAAAGAGAAAAGGCCAGAAGCCTCAAACTTTTCACGCCAAGGCCAAAAGGGGGCATCGTAGAACGAGGGTCTGGGCCAGAGCAGGGTAGGCCCATTCTGTTCGACAGTTTCGGAGTAGTTGCTGTGAAATGCGACGGCGCGTGCGCGTGTCAATGGGGATTCGGGATGTCGCTGCGGGGCGATTTCCGCCTGTCTACACATGGAAGCGGATGCGTGCTCTTCTCAATTGCGGTTAGTCCAATGCGGAGTGACAGCGGTCACGAGTGCGCGCTGCTAAGTCGACGAGGTATTGACACTGTCCCCAGTGCGCTGCGATTGGAGCATGAGGCACGTGAGTGCTGCCAACATGTCATGCACCTTCGGTGAGTCACGCTCGAATGCCAGTTATGGAGCAGTTCGCTCCAGGCGCGCCGGTATTTTGACTACGAGTCCTCCTTCATCGTTTTGTGTCGGGTCTTCCAAAGCCTCAGTTGAATACCAGGGTCGTCCTGCTTCTTGCTTCTGCTTCGGGTTTGTTTTGTGAGTCCACAGGCTTCTGAAATCACCAGCGTCTTTCCGACTGTGAGCTCCCCTGCCTGACAGGGCCGAATGGTCTTGGCTCTTCTGCCCGGAGCCGAACTTGCGGTCCGCGCTGGTGCTGGACGAGCTGAGTGGCGTTGCTCTAGCAAAGGCTCTCAGGGGGGGCGCATCGGGGCGCAAGCGACTGTGATCACAGAAGTCGTTGACCTTGTGACGCTCACACATGGCGAACTCGACTCTACCAGCGGATTCGTCCATGTACCGAGTGGCACGGTGGAGGCATTTGATAAGGAAGCATTGGATAAGGAATCCAGGGTCTGGAAGCCAGCGGAAAGCCAATCGAGGCTTGGCCATGGGTGTCACCGCCGCCCTCAGCAGATAAAAGGAACCCCCCAGGGTCTGCAGCCTCCTGGGCACGTTCCCCAACGAACGCCCCCCACCGCAGGGATGTCGTCGGTGGAACCACGGCCGTGCCCAGCGCTGGCGTGGTGACCAGACTGTGTGGCTCGGGGCCTGCGGCCTGGCACGCACCCGGCCGGGGGCCCAGACACTTCGCAGCTCTTGACAGCAGGGACAGTCGGAGGCCAGGCATTCACCCTCCTCGAGCCCGTGCACTTGCTGTCCACCTTTGCAGCGTTCCCTTTGGGGGCCATCTCGGGGCATCCCCCCTGGGGGCGGGGGGGCTCGGGGGGCCTCCTGTGGCCTCTCGAAAGGCTTTCCGTGCCTCTCCGGGCGCCTCTCGGGTGCAAGCCGAGTGCCTCTGCCGGCCCCGTCGAGGCCTCCCGGACGGGGTCCGAGCAGATGGGGTCGGAGGATCGCGCCGCATCGCCGATGCGGCTCGACGTGGAGCACGAGTTGCGTCACGTCGACGTCGCCGCTTCATCGCCCACGTCGGCGATGCATCGCCGGCGCGTCGCCGATGCCTCGCCGATGCCTCGCCGATGCATCGGCGATGCGGCGCGATCCTCCGACCCCGTCTGCTCCGACCCCATCCAGGAGAGGCCTCTCTACCGTATCAGGAGCGAAAGAAGGACGTACATGTACATGAATCCACGCTGGTTTCGAGAGCACGCACTGCACAAATGTTCGTATGACGCGGCCGGTCTCGCGAATCGAGGGGCCGTGTTCATGTACGTAGCTGGGCGACCCGCTGGGGAACGGCGTGCGCGAGTGGTGTGCCGAGTCGGCGCCCCCCTCCGCCGCCTCGAGGGGCGGCCGCGGGCGCCTGGCCTGCGAAGCGAAGCCGCGGGCAGCGCCCGCCGGCGCACGGCGCGGCCGCGGGGCGGCGCGCAGCGCGTCCCCCGGGCGAGCACACCCGGCAGCGGCGGGCAGCGCACGGGGCAGCCACGAGGTCGGCAGCAGGGCATTTGGTATCGCTCGAACGGGTGCACTCTTTCTCGGCGGGGATGCATCCTGGATCATCCTGCGAAAAAGCCACGCACGGAACCGAAAAGGGCACAGGGAATGGACGTCCGAGCGATGGCCAGGGCATGGGGGCCTGGTACAGTCGGCCCGGATGAGCAGGTCGGCCCTGCCAGCTCCAGGGTGCCCTTTGTGTCCTGCGCCTCGCGACGCGTGCCTTCTTACACTCCCATGGCGATGTGGCCCTCGGAAGGGTCTTGTGTCCTCTCGCGTGTCCTGTCCAATCAAGGCCGACTGTATACCCCCTCGATTCCATCTTCGGCGTCGGCTGGCGTCGAGTAGCCTCCGGGAGTCGGCGGGATAGCACCGATCTGGCGTCGGCTAGAGTCGCTTGGCGTCGAGTTAGCGTCGACTGGTGGCGGCTAGCATCGATCAGCGTCGATAGAGCCGACGAGATGGTGTGGGAGGCTCCCACGAGTTGCCCCCGAACATGAAGCGGCCACGGGCGCAGGCAAGCGGCAACGCCAGGCCATTCCTGATAGGCGAGGTGAGCGCCTCGCAGTGCAGGCGTCGCTCGGGGCATGGTGCTGCATTTCCTCGGACGACTCCTGTGCACCGTGCCGCGTTGGCGTCTCCCGAGACGCCGTCGATCCTCGTGCAGGCGTCGCTCGGGGCATGGTGCAGCACTTCCTCGGACGACTCCTGTGCACCGTGCCGCGTTGGCGTCTCCCGAGACGCCGTCGATCCTCGTGCAGGCGTCGCTCGGGGCATGGTGCAGCACTTCCGCGGACGACTCCTGTGCGCCGTGCCGCGTTGGCGTCTCCCGAGGCGCCGTCGATCCTCGAGCCACGAGCGGTGCGGCCTGTGGTTTTTCTGCCCTCGCGGCCGAAGGTCGAGGCACCGTACCGCGTTGGGGCGAGGCCCGAAGGGAGTCCGAGCATGGCACGGTGCACGGGCGCCGTTCTCGTAGCACTGGGAAGATCCCCCATTGTGCCGCGGGGGGGGGCGGCGATGGCCGGTAACTCGTCGGGCGAGGCGCTGGAGAAGTGACGGCGTGCTAGACGGTGGCGACTGGTTCGGAGGGAAGGGTGGCATGAGGTGGTTCCTCTCGAGCAGGGTCTGGCGTTACAGCAACGGTCGAAGCTCAAGCCACTTCCCCCTCGAGCTCAGGTGGTCGCTGCCCTGGTCAGGCCTGCCCGCTGCCAGCAGTCACCAACTGGCAGAATCGGTGGGCGCACGCGAGTTCAGCAAGTCGCGAAGTGCGAGCTCCCCATGGTGAGTTGGCCTGGGGACACCTGGTGCCCACCGCACTGGCAACCCATGCCTTTTGCTCAAGAGCTGGCGAGGGCTTCCACGGGATTCCCTGGGGTTGCGCGGCTCAGGTATCTTGTGGCGACTGCGGCGAAGGCTCCGGGTGAGGCGCAGCGTGAGGATCCTCGTTTACCTGTCCAGCGTACTCTGGCCATACTTCTTGCTTGCACCTCTTTCGAGGAAAGTCTGGCCCCAACACTTTTCAAGAGGCCTGCAGAGTGGGCGGCACGAGCGCCACCCCAGCAAGCTCTGGCGGGAGTGAGCTGGCCGATGCTTCGAGAGTGTCCGATGCCGCTCCCCCCCCCCCTGCATGGCAGAGCCCGGTCCCGACGGCGCGGGGTGGGCGGGCGGGCGGCGGGGAGGCGCGCGACTCAGGCCGACCGTGCCTGCGCAGACGCGGGTGCCCTGGTGCGGTGGGCGCGCAGCGGCACTGCAGCATGCCGCGCCCACTGCCCCGGGGGACGGGTCTGTCCGTGCGGTGCCCGCGGGTCGCGGTCGAGGCTTCCCCGGGCAGGAGGGCTGGGCCTGGCTCGCGCGGGGGCAGACCCACAAAGGCTCGCGGCGGTCCGGATACCCGTCTCGAGTTTTTTGTTTTGTCCGTAGAGCGTCGAGTCGGGCACGTCCCTCTGCAGGGGGAATATTTAAACGCCCATCCCGCCACCGTGCCTGGGTTGTGGGTCTGAGGTCTCTTGTATGTGTGTTGGGGTGTCGTGGGGGGCCTCTGGGAGGCGGTTTGGGCGCCTCTTGGGGGCCTCTAGGGGCCTCGTGGGGTATATGTTGGGTCTCTTGGAGACCTCTTGGGCGCGTCTTGGGCGCCTACTGGGGCCTCTTGGGGCCTCCTGGGGGCTTCTCGGGGCACAAATATAGAAATTTCGGTTCGTGGTCCCCTCCTTGGGCCCCTCTTGGGGCTGTCTTGGAGCCCTCTTGGGCCGTCTTGAGCGCTTCTTGGGCCATCTTGGAGCCCTCTTGGGCCGTCTTGGGGCCCTCTTGGAGGCCTCTTGGGCTGTCTTGGGGCGGTCTTGGGAGCTTATTGAGCCGTCTTGGAGCGTCGGAAGCCGAAAACGCGTCACATCTACATGTTTGGCCTCTTTGGGCTCTCTCTGGAGGCCTGGGGCTACTTGGGGCTCGGGCGGAGAGATCGGATTTTCGGTCCGTGTCCTCCCTTCTTGGGGCGGTCTTTGGCAGTCTTGGGCCCCTCTGTGGTCGTCTTGGAACCCTCTTGTGCCGTCTTGGTGCCCTCGTAGGGGTATCTTAGGCAGTTTTGTGGCGGTCTACGGGGCCCCTCGGGCCGTCGCGGAGAGGCGGAAGTGCGAGCAGACGATGCAACCGTTGATGTGTGCCTCTCGGGGCCCCCTTGGGAAGGCCTTTGTTGGGCCTCTCTTCTGGGCGTCTCGAGGGCGCCTTGGGTCGTCCTGGAGCCATCGCAGGCGTCTCGGGCCAACCGTTCGGCGGTTCGGGGCCGTCCTGGAACTTCCTCGAGGCCACGGAAGGTAGAGTTGGGCTTCTCTTTTGGGCGTCTCGAGGGTGTCTTGGGTCGTCTTGGAGCCCTCGTCGGCGTCCTGGGCCAAGCGTTCGGCGGTTCGGGGCCGTCTTGGAGCGTCTTCGAGGCCACAGAGGGCAGATGTTTGGCAGCTCCAGAGTCTCCACGGAGGCGCGAGGCAGCTCGTGCATTTCCCCCCCCCCCCCCCCGTGAAACAGGAGGAGGAGGGGGGGAGAGCGGAGGAGGAAGGAGGGGAAGGAGGAGGAGGAGGAGGAGGAGGAGGAGGAGGAGAGGAGTTGGGGGAGGAGGAGGAGGAGGAGGAGGACGGGGCGGGGGGGGTAATGAGTAGGATGATGAGGAAGGAGGAGGAGGAGGGTCTGATTATTACTCTTCTGCTTCTTCGGAGTATGTAGGTGTGCCTGATGATGATTCTTCATTATGAGTATGTCTTTCGTAGGAGAGAGCGTAGAGTGAGGCGGAGGGATGCTTCTGATTGATTGCTCTTCTTTCTTCTTTCGGCACAATGAGTATAGATTTCGTCGTAGGCTTCTGGAGTCGTTATGCCGGATTGCCGTATTATTATTCTTATTATTCTCGTCTTCTTCTCTTCTTTACTTACTTGCTTTTCTCGTCTTCTTAGTCTGCGTTTCGCGGCATTCTGCATGTCTTGCTTCTTACCTTTACTATCGTGCTTGCTTACTTCTTCTTCTCCTCCTTCTTCTGCGGTAGTCTCGCGTCTTCTCCTTTCGTTGTTCCCTCGGTTTAGTTCTTTCTCTTCGTCTTTTCATTCTCTTTCCTTGATTCTCTCTATTCTTCCTTCTTCTTCTTCTTCCTTTTTCGGTGCTTTTTTCCTTCTGCTGCTCAGATTTGTTCTTCTTTTTTCTTTCGTCCCTCTCTGTTCTTTTGCTGCAAATCATCTCACACGCCTTCTCGCCCCCAGCCAGCTGGGGTCGGCGGGTAGCTCCCGGTCGTGTGCGTTTCTTTGTAGTGTTGCTGGCACGATGTGTTTGCATGAGGCTACTCGTTTCGACAACATCAGGGCCGTGAAGAGCAAGTACGGCGATCTCCGCTGACGGTCCGACTGTCTCGACACGGTTCGCTGCGCTCGGAGAAAAGCAGCCCAGGCGGGGTTTTTGAATCTATGGTTGGGTAGGCGGTGGTTGAATTGAGCAGCAGGCGTGCGGACGGCAGTGAAGAGTCGGCTCGTTGATATGCCGCAGAGTGACTTGACCATATCCGGGCCTGGCTCTGTTTAACTGCAGACTGGTCTCTTCAGCGCATCGGAGAAGAAGTGCGGGTTTGTCGCCTGGCTGAGTTTGCATTATTGTTCCTCGATTTCGTGGCAGTTCGTAGCTAGCTCTCGTCCTACCGATTGGCGAATTGAATGATCGAGCGGCCAATTCACACACAAAGACGTGTTCGTGTGTGTCTATCTATGTGCACCCCGTGTTTTGATAAGTGGTTAATGTTTCGCCCCCGTGGAAGGAGCTAAATGTTTGGTGTGCCCGTGTGTGTGTGCTTGTGGATTGTACGTATGGTTGTGTTTCTGTATATGTATGTGGGCGTGTCTGTGCCTGCCTATTCGTGTGACTTCTCTCGCGGTTGTAGGTCAATTTTTGCAGGGATCGATCAATAAGCAAGGCACGGGGCTCACCTCGAGTCATCGTAGTTTCTTTCCTTCCTGCTTCTGCTGACCCACTCCTCTTCTCACTTCTTCCCTCATCTTCCATTTCCTCCCTCTCTTCCCCTGTCAGCCAGCCAGGGACAAGGTGCAACCGCCACTGCCAGGACGGAGAAGAGAAACACGCATACGCAATGGCGGAGAACATTCTCACCGAGACGTGTCCAAACGGGCTGGCTGTGGTGACCATCGACAGGCCCAAGGCTCTCAATTCTTGACGCTTCGCGTGTCCCCACCAGCGCGACAGTTGCGCCGTACGCCTTGGCCCTGTGCTGTTCGACCCTTTGACGCCGCGCGGGTGCCCGCCTGCGGTCGCGATCAAACAGTGTCCCCACCAGCAGGGTGCTCGCGGCCCGTGCTACTCTACGGACGCTGTCGGCTCGTCGGCCTGCAGCTGCGACTAAAAGTCCCCACCAGCCCGCTCCTGTCGCTCAGGGCCTAATTTAGCCCGATGCTCGTTGGTTGCGCGTTTCTGGGCGGCGCGCGGTTGGACCGCGACGCTCGCGAACAAGAAGAAGAAGTGCCCACACCAGCTTGGCTCGTAGCCCGGGCTGACTTCGGACGCCGCCTGCGCTTCCGCTTGCGGCCGCGACGGAAGAAGTCCCCACCAGCTTCGCTACTGGCGCGGCCCGCCGTAGCACGCTCGGCGTTCGACCCGTTTCGCGCGCCCGCTAGCCAAAGCGTGTCCCCACCAGCTTGTTCAGAAACGATGCCCAGGCGAGACGCCGTGACCACGGAAATGTAGGAGCAAGCCGTGGACCAAAGTGGTTGGCCAGTCGTCAGGTTGAAGCACGGGGTCAGGCTGAACAGACCCTGGGGGCAACCATACATCCTTTCGCGGATGTTTCGACATGGGAGCCTCTTGAATGATTATTTGGACAGTATTTAAGCCTTCCTGGGACCAATTTGGAGTCCATTTGGGGCTCTCTTGGGGCCCTCTTGGGCCTCTTCTGAGGCCTTCGTGACGCCATCGGTCAACGGGTGTGGATCCTCAATTAGAGTACGCCCGCTGGAGCTTGAAACATCGCTCTTGGGATCCTCTTGGGGCGCTCTTGCTGTGCTCTTGGGTGCTCTTGGGCTGTCGTGGAGCCTTCATGAGTCCAGATTGGGGCCTTTTGGGGCGATCTTGGAGCCACTCTACGGCCTCAGAAGCCCGTCGGAAGCGAAGAGGCGACACAGCAACAGTCATTGAACAACCTTGGGCGTTTGAAGGACTTTGGACTCCTGGGGGTATCGTCGGAGGGATGTGTGTCCACTTGGAGCCGTCTTGTGGTTGAGGCCTCTTGGAACAATGTTGGACGCTATCTTTAACTATATTGTGCCATCTTGCGCTATCTTGTAGGCCTTGGGCTATCTCGTGCCCTCTTGGAGGTCACCGTCTTGGGCGCTGTCACGCGTCGCGGCGCTTCCCCTCCAGACCCAGGGGAGGTTCCTAACGGGAGCGCCAGAGGCTGTCTCGATCGCTCCCACCTGGCCTCCAACCATACAAGGAGCATGTGATCGGCGTCACCCCAACATACTTATACTATATGTGCGTCGCCCCCCGGGGGCGACGCGCGCACAGCGAAATCTTATGGTATATGCGTCGTAGCGGGCGCTTTCTGGCCACGCCGTTTGGGAAACGATATACTACAAGATGGGTATACTAGATGTTTGGGTCGGACGCGCGCTTCCAAGGAGAACATATTGTACTAGTATGTCTTTATGGGTCACATGCCTCCAGGGTGCCTTGGGTGTCTTGGGTTTCGATGGTTTTGCTGTGGAAAGCGTGAATGCGACATCCATTTTGGAACCAATTACGCACGCAGGGTGTGCGACGCTCGCGAGGGGGTCGCCACGCGTGCTGGGTGCGCTGTAGGCGCGCACCCCGTGCGCCGGGTGCCCCAGGGGCCCACGCGTGGCAGACGCGCCTGGTGCGCCGAATGCGCCGTGTGCTCCACGTGCGCCAAGTGCGCCACCTGTACGAGGCAGGAATTTCTACATAACCACCGCCTGGAGAATCAGTTCTCGGGGACCTCGACAGGCGGTGGATATGGATATATTCGAGCTCCTGGGGGCCAAAATATCTCCATATCCAACGCCCGCTGGGGCACCAGGACGTCGGTTCCCAGGCGGTGGATATGGATAAATCCCCGCCTCGCAACCTGCTCCAGCCGCGCCGGGTGCGGCAGCGCCGACAGAGTTCGCCAGATGCGCCAGTGCACGTGACAGCACACATCAGACAAAGTGTCAGGCCATTGCAGAGTTGCGGCGGGGCGGTCAGCATGGTGTAGAGCGCGAGCGCCCGCAATGTGTTGCATGTGCTTTTCCAGCGATAGAGTCCAACAGCAGCGGACACATATGCTCACCGCCCTGCCGTCCTTGTCAAAAGCCAATGAAGGGTACTACGTCGCGGGGGTCCCGCTCACGATCCAGATTTTGTCGCCACATCGGGGGGGGCGCATGGTTTCCTGTCTGACCGGTTCGCGTGAAGGGGCGGGCGCTGATCAACAACAAGTAGTGGCAAACCCTCCTTGAAGGGGAAGAAAGAGGCTGTAGGCATGCTGTCTTTCGGATGCAATTCCTGGGAGGTCAAATTCTGATTTCGCCCTGGTCTGAAATCCGGCTTAATCCTTCTTAATCCCTCTAAACCCAGCCTAATCCCGTTGAGCCTCGCTTAATCCGGCTCAATCCCGCTTAATCCGAGGCCCGCTCTGGCGTAACAGCCCCCCAATCGGGCTTAATCCTCCTTCACCCTTTCGACGAAGACCTCCCAGTAGTTGCCTCCTAACTTTCTCTCAAACACCTACGCCCAGGGGGCTGGTGGGATTCATGCACCCTGCCGATGGTCGAGGGAATCAGGGAAACGCTGAGGGCATGGAGGGACGACGTCACGGTGAAGGCCGTGCTCCTGAAGGGCAACGGGGGTCGCGCGTTCTGCTCTGGGGGCGACGTCAAAGGCTGCCGCGAGACCTTGATGGAGGACCCCGCCAGCCCGGCCCCCGCCGATCTGGTCTTTTGTGAGTACAACCTGCTCTTCGAGATGGAGTTCCTCCAGAAGCCATCAGTGGCCATCGCCGAGGGCGTGACCATGGGTTTTGGGCTGGGCCTGGCGTCTTTCTGTCGCTACACCGTCGCGACCGACACCACCCGCATGGCCATGCCCGAGAGCAACATCGGGCTGTTCCCCGACGTGGGCTTCTCCTACAGAGCGGCCAACTTCCTGCCGCCCGGAGTGGGGCGGCTCCTCGCCGTGACCGGCGCCCACCTCCTCGGAGTGGACGAGGCTACACTGCACGCAAGAGTGACCTTTCGCCGGAGGGACCTTTTGATGCGGGCCCACAGGGCTCCCCAGGTCGCGGAGCGCGCAGCGGCAGCAGTGGCTTGCGCGCCCAGCTCTGGCCGCCCCGCGCCCCCCGTTCCGCCGCGCCCCAGAGGTCGCTCTATGAATTACCCAGGGGGTCGCTCTTATACGTGCGCGGCCGAGAGGCAGTGGGATCCGGGCTGGCGAGCCACGGCATCGCGGGCGGCAGGCTGCCCGAGCTCGAGCCCCGGCTCCGGGCCCTGGACCTCTCCGGAGACGCGGACGGCGCGGTGCGCGCCTGCCTCGCGGGCCTGGCGGCGCCGCCGGCGGGGCGCGGCCGGCTGAGCGCCCACGCCGCCCTCGTGGAGGCCTTTGCGCGCGCCCCCGGCGGGCCCGGCGGGCTGGCCCAGGCGCTCGGGGGCAACGGCAGGGGGAGGTATCTCACCACCCACCAAGCCACCCCAACCCAACCCGAAGGCCTCAATTTGCCCTCCATTTCCAGTGGGGGGGGTCGGGGAACATTGAGAAAACACATATGGAACCCGTACCCCCCCCCAACCCGAAATTCGGGTCTTCGGGTTGGGCTGGGGTGGTCTGGTAGGTAGTTAGTATCGGCGTCACTCCAACATACAAGATGGGTTTTCTGCATGTTCGGGTCGGACGCGCGCCTCCAAGGAGGACGGATCGTATCAGTGTGTCTCGGTGCGTCCCAAGATAGGCTCCGGGGGGAACGCATCGATCCCCCAATCGCCCACTGATCGCCGATGGGGCTAGAAAGTCCAGGGTTCGCTAGGGACTGGTTTCCCTTCACAGCGACCGAAACCCTCCCACGAAACCCTCCGAAAACCATCCGGGAAGGGTTCCGGGATGGTTTTCGGAGGGTTTCGGGGGGTTTTGGAAGGGCTTGTCGTCGTTTTGAGAGGAAGCCAGTTGGCGAACCCTGGGCTTTCTAACGAGAGGGGTCTGATAGCCCCGCCCCGCCCAGGAGCGTGCGGGTTCGCCATCGGAGGCCTATCGCCGAGCTATCGACGACGTATCGCCGATGCCAGGTGGACGCACTCGCCCCCCCTGGAGCCCGTCCCCCCTCGGTGGTCGTCTCGTCGCAGCGTGTGCTCCCCCCCCCCCCTGGGCCAGCCCTGAGTCGGGCATGTCCCTCGACAGGGGGAGTGGTCAAGAGTGGTGAGAACTGGTCGGGGGACGATGCTTCGGCTAATTACGTCTGGCGACGTGTGAATAGTTGTTTGGCCATTTTTGAACTTCCGTCCAAACTCCGCCCGTAGGAGGACGTGCCCGACCGAATCGTTGCCCCTCAGGCGCGGGGCGCGCTGGAGGCCGAGGCGACCGCGGCCGGGGGTTGGGCCGCCGAGCTCCAGGCGGGCATGCCCAGGTGAGCGGGAGGGAACCTCCTCCCCCTCCCCCTCCCCCTCCTCCTCCCCCTCCTCCTCCCCCTCCCTCCTCCCCCCGCCTCCTACCCCCGTCCTCCCCCTCCCTTTCCTCCTCCTCCTCCGTCCTCCTCCCTCCTCCTCCTCCTCCTCCTCCTCCCCATCCCCTTCCTTTCTCCGCTTCCTCTTCCTCTTCCTCCTCCCCCTCCTCATCATCCTCGTCCGTCGTCCTCCCCTCCTCCTCCTCCTCCTCCGCCTCCTCTCGTCCCGCCCTCGTCCTCCTTCTCCTCCTTCTCTCCTCCTCCTCCTCCTCCTCCTTCTCTTCCTCCTTCCCCCTCCCTCCTCCTCCTCCTCCTCCTCCCTCCCCTCTCCTCCTCCTCCTCCTCCCCCTCACCCTCCTCCTCCTCCTCCTCCTCCTCCTCCTCCTCCTCCCCGTCCTCCGGTGGGCGGGAGGGGAGAGAAAGAGAGAGAGAGAGAAGGGAGGCGGGTGGAGGAGAAGAGGGATGGGGGAGGACCTGAGGGCGAAAGGATGACAGACGGTTGGTGCAGGATGGTCGCCGCCTTTTACGTTCTGACGGGCAAGAAAAGAATGAGGCAGTTAATTTGGGTATTTCCGCCCCAAATTCCTCAAGCGCGTTCCTTTTTCTCAGCCCTCATGCGTTGGGTTCTCTTATTGATCAGGGCACTGCGGTCGCGTCCTCCTCCTTCAACCTCCCTCCACTTCTCTTCCCTCCTCCACCTCCCTTTCTTCCTGCCTCCAACCTCCTGTCTCGCCGTGGAACTGCGAACTACGAATACGTCGCCACTTTCGAGGGCTGCCGCGGGGTCCAGCACAGTGATGTCCTACGCGAACTCAGATGAGACCTCACCATCCCTGTGTCGGCTGCGAACTGCCAAATCGTCGCCACTTTCGAAGGCTGCTGGTTCGTTAAGGAATGTGTCCGGGAGGCTTCAGACCCCGGAGGGTCCCTTATCTGATGTGAACAGCGGTGGTTTCCATGGCCGATCCACCATGGGAGTTGCTCTGGCTTCCAGACCCTCGAGTCCTTATCCAGTGGTTCCTTATCCAATGTCTTCGCCGAGAGAAGTCAGCCCGCCCGCACGTGCTCCACGGAAGCGTCTTATCGCCCGATGGCCCTGGGGACCCGCCCTGGGGACCCCAGGGAGAGCAACGCTCGACGACGAACGCGCCCCCAGACTTTTGACAACGGGACTCCTTACCGTGTGTGTCTATTGCAGGCTTTTTGCTGCTGGGCTGGGCTCTTGGGCGAGAGCATCCAGTGGGGGACTCATGCAGAGTGGGGCAAAAAACCATGTGCAGCGCTTTTGTTTCATATTCTCCACTGTACACGGCAGATGTATTTTTTGGCCCTCCACTCTGCCCATGGGCACACCTCTGTCCGGGACACGCCGCGCACTGCGGGGGGGGGAGGATGTTGATTATGATGATGACGATGATGATGATGATGATGCTGATGATGATGATGAGGAGGAGGAGGAGGAGGAGGAGGAGGAGGAGGAGGATGGAGGAGGAGGTCGGAGGAGGGGAGGACTAGGGAGGATGGAGGAGGAGGGAGGAGGAGGGAGGAGGAGGAGGAGGAGGAGGAGGAAGGAGGAAGAGGAGGAGGAGGAGGAGGAGAAGGAGGAGGAGGAGGAGGAGGAGGAGGAGGGGGAGGGGGAGGGGGCACGGCGCGGGCGGTCGCGCGCAGACTGCCCGCGTCAGGCTGCGCGCGCGTGGAGCGCCCTCCTCCTGCTTTTGCGCGGGCCGCCCCCCCGCGCGAGACCGCCGGCGCCGTCCAGCCCCTCCGCCGCGGCAGGTGCTGCCCCTTCAGCCAGGCGGTTGCCTGGAGCCTGCTGTGCGCCGCGGAGGCGGACCGGGGCGCTGGCGAGCTGGAGCCCGGAGGGCTTCGGGGCTCAAGGGACGGGGGGTCAATCAGAGGCGGCGATAGGGGCGAATAGCCCAGGAGAGAGCAATACATGTATTCAGGTGCGCCGATGCTCCATGTCTTACAAAAGGCTCCCAGGCGAATGCGTGTAATGCCCGCCCCTGGGCTATTCGCCCCTATCGTCGCCGCCGAGTCAACGCAAACGGTGGTCAGCCAGAGCGCCCGATCTTGCAGGATCCTGCAGGGCCAGGGTCGCATTGACCGTCAGGGGTTGGGCGCTGAGATCCTGCAGGCTCCTTCGCGTCGTTGACCCAGGCCTGGGTGCAGGAGCTTGCAGGGTTCTGCAAGGCCTGACTGACCCGGGTCTGGATTGACCCGGGTCAGAAGAGCTCGGCGCCTCGGCGGGCCTTCGGCGCGGCGTGGGTGGCGTGGTGGTGGTCGGCCGGCGCGTCGCGGGTCGGCGCCGCGGTCGGCGCCCCCTGCGGGTCGGTGGTCGTGGCCGGGGTCGCCGCGGCTCGGCGTGGTCGCGGCTCCGGGGCTATCGGCCATGGGCCCCCGGTGGCGAAGCCGAGCGCTGCTGGGCGCGCCGGCGGGCCGGAGCCCGCGGAGGTTCAGGGGCAACGCTTGGGGGGGGGTGCCTAGGCTCAGGCTTGGTATCGCTCGGACGTGTGCACTTTTTTACTCGGCGGGGATGATTAAGGAGCATCCTGGATCATCCTGCGAAAAACCACGCACGAAACCAAAAAACACAGGGAAGGGACGTCCGAGCGATGGCCAGCAGGGGAGGGGCATAGCCAGGACCCCAGCGGCTAGTAGTAGGGCCCCAGGAGCCCCCGAATTGGCCCGAATCACGAGACCAGGCCTGCCGTGGCCGGGGTCTTTCGGGGGACGGCAGTTCCGGTTCGTGGAACGGGGCGGGGGGGGCGGGCGCCCCCCAGCACACACCACTACACCAGATCCCACCACACCCAGTTCTGCCAACGCCCGATCAGGGGGAGCACCTGCCTGGCATCGGCGATGCGTCGCCGACAGATCGGCCAGGGGCCCCCCTCCAGTGGCGAGCCCGAGCGTGCCTGGGCGTCGGCGGGCCGTGGCGCCAGGGGGCGTCGGCGGCCCGGGGCGCCGGCGAGCTGGAGCCACCGGGGGGGGGGGTCAGGAGCAGCGCTACGGTCGAAGGAGCAAGTCCGCAGCAGCAGCGCCCGAAGGAGAAAAGCAGGGTTCTCCCCAGCTACCCCGCGGCCGGACTGTTCAGTGAGTATTATTGTGTGCGAGGTGGTGCGCGCCGCTGCCAGTCGCTCGCGCAGGGACTCCCAAACTTCGCCGTCGTACTCGTCGTGCCCGTCGTCGTCCTCTTCCTCCTTCTCCGACTGACGCTGGCGCTGGCGGCTGTCTCGCCCCGCAGAGGGACCGAAGCCGTGGGCCGCCCTGGACGGTAGTCCAGGGCGGTCGAAAAGCTAGGTACAGTCGGACCGAGGTATAAGATCAAGATTGGTTCGGGGAGGGTACCCTCATGTTCTTCGTATTTGCTGGATGCTCTTGCACATCCGGGGGATGGCACCCTCGAATGCTCTTCGGTTCCTTCGGTTTGGCCAGCCGAGTGACTCATGTTATTGAAAGACGTGTTCCTGTCTTAGGTCCGACCGTAGCAGTGGTTCACCGCCCACCACAGCACCCCAACCCGACCCAAACTCCCCGATCTGCCCACATTTCCAGTGGGGGAGAGTCGGGGAACATGGGGAAAACACATGTGAAGACCGCCCCCCCACCCCCACCACCACCACCACCCGAAATTGTGGTCTTCGGGTTAGGTTGGGGCGGTCTGGCATTAAGTCGGGCCTGTCCCTCTACAGGAGGAATATTCAAAAATAGTCAAACAAAAATAGTCAGGGGACGATTTCCTTAGTATTCGTCACCACTGTGGGGCATGGCTTCAAACTATGCATTGGTTTCCGTGCAGCATCCCCCTGCAGGAGGACAGGCCCGACTCAAGTCTGGCAGGCAGCCAGCAGCGAAAAGAGTGGAGCGGAGACGAGCACGACACGGCGGGGGACGACGGGAGGCTCGCGACTACCACGGAGGAGGGCAGGGGAGCGGGGGCCTGCGGGGGCGGCGCGGGGTCGGGCGGCGGCACGAGGGCCGAGAAGGAAGATCCTCCTCCTCCTCCTCATCCTCCTCCTCGTCCTCCTCCTCCAACTCCTCCTCCTCCTCCTCCTCCTCCTCCCCTCCTCTCCTCCTCCTCCCTCCTCCTCCTTCTCCGTCTCCTCCTCGTCGCCCTCCTCCTTCTCTCACCATCCTTCTCCTCCAGCTCCCTCCTCCCCCTCCTCCTCCTCCTCCTCTCCTCCTCCTCCTTCTCCATCCTCCTCGTCCTCCTCCTCCTCTTCTCCACATCTTCTCCTCCAGCTCCTCATCCTCCTCCTTCTCCACCTCCCTCTCGTCCTCCTCCTCCCTCTCCTCCTCCTCCTCCTCCTCCTCCTCTCCTCCCTCCTCCTGATCCCTCCTCCTCCTCCTCCTCCTCCTCCTCCTCCTCCTCCTCCTCAAAATCGCAACAATGCCGTGATTCGCGGCGTTGGAGTCCCAGGAATGGTGATCTAGCACAGTTCCGGATTTTCAGACGGCCATCGTCCAGCGGGGCACTTCCCTCAATGAGAACGAAGCCTCAAGCCTTGAAGGGGCCCATGAACAGGGAACTTGGAGGGAGGGTTTATTGGTTTATTGCAACATCGTTGACGAATCTCGGGTTTACACTAGTCCTCCTCCGCCTCCTCCTCCGCCTCCTCCTCAACTTTCCTCCTCGCGTTCCTTCTCGTCCTCGCCTGCCCGCACCCGCCCCGCGCGAGCGGCAGCTGCCCTGTCGCCGCCGTCGGGCGCGACGTTGCGGGTGTCCCGTCGGTCGTCTGTCGTGCCGTCGTCGCCGTCGCCGTCTCGCCGTCGCCGTCGTCGCTGGCGGCTGCCTGTTTTTCCTTTTTCTGGAACTCGTGCCCCTACGCGGGCGCGCGTCAGGCCAACCTCACTCACACTCACAAGCCATGCGCCGTCCCGCGCGGGGGCAGGAGCACAGCCTCAGGCAGCGACGCGAGCTGGAGGGTGAAACGCTGCGCCGGCTAAGGGGATCAAGAGGAGGAGGAGGAGGAGGAGGAGGAGGAGGAGGAGGAGGAGGAGGAGGAGGAGGAGAAAAACAGCCTAGAACCCAGAAGCCTGGAACCTAGAAGTCTCGTCCTCGCCCTCTTCGTTCTCGTGCTCGTCGGCCCTGGCGCCCGAGGAGTGGAGGGCCGCCGCCGCCCTGGAGCGGGACTTCGCCGCCGCGTGCCGCCTCTTCCGCAGGCCGGACTTCTGCGAGGGCGTCCGCGCCGTGCTCGTGGACAAGGGCCGGGTGCCAGCGGCGCTCGGAGGGCGCCAATTTCGACTGCACGTAAGACTCGGTATCGCTCGGACGTGTGCATTCTTTCTCGGGGGGGGGGGCCATCGAGGAGTAGCTTGGATCACCCTGGGGGAAAAAACACGCACGAAACCCAAAAACGCACGGTGAATGCACGTCCGAGCGATGGTGAGAAGAGTGGCCCTCCGCTGGAGTGACCTTTGGCGCGGGCCCACCGGGATCCTCCCGATCGCCGAACGCGATGCGGTAGGAGCGTCTTGCGCGCTCGTGCGTGGCCCCCCCGCGGCCCCCAGAGAGCCGCGCGCCAAAGGGCACTCCTTACCCAGAGGGCCACTCTTGCGCGTAGCCGATCGGGAAGTCTGGCGCAGCGTGCCGCGCAGCCAGTTCTCGCCCACCGCGGGCCCAACCTCCAAGAGGCCAGGCCCAGGCGGCACCCGAGGTGCGGCCCAGGACCAGAACCTCAGTGCCCAGGGGTCCCCCTCGTGCGACGGGGGGTGGGGACCCACCCGGATGTCCCCAGGCAACTGGGAAAGGGAGGTGGAGGGAGGAGACGAAAGGAGGAAGTGAAGGAGGAGGAGGAGGAGGAGGAGGAGGAGGAGGAGGAGGAGGAGGAGGAGGAGGAGGAGGAGGCGCGACGCGCTGAACACCTCCCCATGCCCAGGCGTCAGCGCCCCTGGCCCTTTCCGGGCCTCCCGCCCCGCGCAGCGTGGCGGCCGTGCTGTCCGCTCGCGGGGGCACTGCGGGTCGCCGGGGCCGCCGCCGCGACGCTCTCGGCAAAGGTTCCCGACCGCACGCTCGCACCTCTGACTAGGCCCGTCCTGGCCCACTGCCGTCCTCGGGCGGCATGCTGTGGGCCTGTGAGGGGCCACTCGCCACGCGGGCACTGCCCTCGGCTCCCACACGGCACGCCGAGGCCTGCCTGGCCACCCCAGAGGAGGGTGAGCTCGGCCATAGCTGCTTGCGACTGGCCTGTAGTAGGAGGAAAAAAAACAGTGAGAACGCTGAAAAGAAGGACCGCTTCTCAAGCAGTGGCGGAGCGTCCTGGCGTGCCCAGAGGCCTGCCGAACCGTGTTCTAAGAAGCTTCCCTCTGTGGCTTCCACGCAGGGTCCGCAGAGCACCTCTCGCTGGGGCTGTCGTGTGTGAGCACGTCGGGGAGATTCTCCGAGAACGTGGCTTTTTTTTCTTGGAGCACTCCTGGGCTCTGAGAACATCTCGCTTTCCCGTCGGCCCCTGTTCCTTGCCTTGCCCGCGTTCTCTTTGTCGGCCTGTCCTGTTGTCCGAATAAGAGAAAGCTGTATTTTCCACATGTGTTCACGCCCACGCGCCGCCTGGTGCATGGCTTGTCTGTCTGATTGCCAGTCTCACTCGGTCTGCCCAGGCGCGCTTCCGCGTGCCGTCAGGGGCCCGGCCCGCCGCGGCCGGTCAGCAGACCGCTTCGCTTCGCTTCGCTTGAGAACACATCGTGGCAGGCCCACGGGAACGCCGGGGCGGTCGGTCCCTGCTCCAGCTGCGGGCTCGGGGCGGGTTCCCGGGTCGGGGCCGTGCCTCGGGCCCGGGGTCGGGGAGCCCGTTTTCTCGAGGCCGTGGCGCGCCGTGGCCCCGAGAGGGGTCTCCCTTTCGCTCCTCCCGCAGCGGTCCTCGTGGTAGGGCACGCCGACCCTGGCGAGGCCGATCCTGGGCCCCTGGAATCGGCATCTATGTCTATATCAAGATATCGATATAAATAAACATATGCATGCATCTATACATGTATACAAATATGTGTATATATGTATGCATGTCTATACATACATATATATGCATATGTATATATACACGTATATACACATATGTGAATGATATTGAATAACAGACCCAAACATAATCGTTTTAGGGCTTCAGGGCTACGGGGCTGTAGGGCTAGAGGGCTGTAGGGTTGTAAGGCTCTGGGGCTATAGGGCTGTAGTGCTATAGGGCTATAGGGCTATAGGGCTATAAGACTATAAGGCTATAAGGCTATAGGGATCTAGGGCTACCGGGCACCAGGGCACCCGAGCACCTGGGCACCCGGGCACCCGGGCGTGCCGCCGAAATGGGCGCCAAACCTCGACCATATGATTCCGCTAGGGCCCTTACAGAGGCAAGCTCTGATTGGGGAATATGTACGCGCGCCCTCAATGCCAGGCAGGACAGTGTTTGTGGTGGAGACGCTCGTTCAGGAACGTGCGCCCAGGAGGCTTCGAACCCTGGATGGGGGTTCCTTGCCCGATGAGGGCGGCGGTGGCAGCCATAGTCCAAACATAGTCGGGGGATTATTTTTTGGAGTATTTTTTGAATTTTTGGGGTATATTTTTTCGTCGAAAATCCCCCTGTAGGGGGACACGCCCGACATAACACTGGTTCCTTTCGGGGGAGGCCAAACGTACCCCAGACCAGACGCAGAGGTGGCCTCCGTGCCCGCCACGGGGCGCCCAGCGGCTGCGTTCTGGCGCCCGCCGTTAGCTGGGGCCGTGGCCGCCGCGGCACCTCGCCTGGGGGGCACGTCGTCCTGGCGGCACGCTTGGCCCCTCCCAGTCCTTGTCCAGTGCGCTCACTGTGCGCTAGCCTGACGTCGGGCATGTCCCTCGACAGGGGGGCGATTCAGACATACACCAACAAACAATAGTCAGGGGACGATATCTGGTTTGGACCATGTCTGGCCACGCTTGAGCATCCTTCCGGCATGTTTGATCCCTCTCCCCAAACCCGCCTGTGGGAGGGCACGCCCGACCTGGCACTGGTCCCAAGCCCAGGTCGGCGACTTGGATCCGTCACGTGATGCGAATCGGAGGAGGAGGAGGAGGAGGAGGAGGAGGAGGAGGAGGAGGAGAAGTAGGAGTAGTAGTAGGAGGAGGAGGAGGAGGAGGAGGAGGAGGGAATTCGCATCACGTGACGAAATCCCTCGTCCTACCAGGTTCGGCCTGGGCAGGCTCGGCGCGGACGCGCGCCGTTGCCCCCTCCCCCCCCCGGCCGAGGCGTGGGCTCCCGCGGCGACCTCGGACGTCTCGGAGGATCCCCCGGCCCGCCTGGGAGGGGGCCCTCGGGCCGGGCGCGGGGTCGGAGGCCGTCGCCGAGGCCTCCGTCGGTGCACTGGCGGTGCGGCGGCCGATCCTCCTCCTCCTCCTCCTCCTCCTCCTCCTCCTCCTCCTCCTCCTTCCTCCCCCCCCCTCCTCCTCCTCCTCCTCCTCCGTAGCCATTTTGGCTCAAGATGCTTTGTTCCCCAGCGGAACAAGTGGATACCGCTAGTCCGCGGCAGACAAGACCCTTTGTGGTCTGGCAGAGCGTTCCCGTCTCTCCGACGCTCGCGCCCACGGGTAAACGGAGGCGTTTCCCGTTCCTGTGCGAGCGAACGTCCCTGGTGCAATGGGACTTCCCGACGCCGCTGCCCTGGCCAGCCGTGCCCAGGAGATCGAAGACATGCCCACCTTCCCTGATGATGAACGCGCTGAAGGTCAACGTGTCCAAGGCTCGCCTGAGCCCAAGTATCCTCGCACTGAGGAGGGCAAAGGCTCCTCAGGCAGTGGCAAAGGTGTTGCCCGTCTCGCCTCCCGTGCTGCCGCTGCAGGTGCCGCGCTCGTCTTCGGGCGCTCGGAGCTGCAGGCTCATTCTCCTGATTTGCATGCTGTCGGTGCTCCTGTGCATGCTGGTGGAGTCTCTGCAGGTCCTGACCCTGCTCGGGCACCCGCTGCGCATGCCACCCACGACTACCCCGACGAGTACATCAAAGCCGTCATTGCCGATGGTGTCGCCTCCCAGTTCAGCGAGCTTCGCACGGAGCTTGAAGAGCTTGTCGCCTCCACAGTGGGAGACACTGTCAAATCCAGCAATGCCGCCATCCTTCAGACCCTGGCTGTGTTGCAGAAGCAATTGGAAGACCAGCCGTCAGAGCTGGACCAGATGGCGATGGGCATCTTCCGACCGCAGCTTGACGAACTCTCTAGAAAGATGCAGCGACAGATTGATGATGTCACTGGAAAAGCCGCTACTCTCAATATCGAGCTGGACTCACACACAGAGCAGTTGCAACAATTACGTGCCGAGATTGCCGAGCTACGTGAAGGTCTTCACGTGTCCAAGCGACAGGAGGCTGCCCCCTCGCCGCCCGCCAGCTTCGACCGCCAGACGGACCCTGCCGTGGTGGTCGCGATGTGTACTAAGATGGTTGGATTGTCGCAGGTTCGTGATGTGCTGGCTCCGTTCCTCTCTGAGCTCGGATTCGAGGCAGCCCAGTACACCCTTTCTTGCCCTTCGCCGACTCCCGCACGCAGGTTTCTCATCAAGTTCAACGGGGCCACTGGCCTCGCATCTCGGAAGGTCTCGAAGGTGCTCAGCAACCTCCGCCGCAATGATCAGTGGAGAGTGTTCAACGTTGAGGCCACGGGTGCCGCAGCCGACGGTCGCCTTCACTTGGGGCCCGACAAATCCCCTCGCCAGGTCAAGACGGAGATGGCTCTTCGTCGGATACGTGGTGCGTGCGCAGACAAGTTCGGTGGACGGTGGTATGTCGATCGTGAACGAGGCATCCTCAAGAGCGGTTGGACCAACGTGCTTAAGATCCAAGCGAACCCTGAAGACGCTCCATATACTGTGCAGTACAACCAAGAGGGCATCTTGGACCTCAAGCTCACGCGTGCTGACATCCAAGCAGTGGTGGATGAGATTCCGGCACCTCCGCCACCTACGACGTGGTGTCTTTGACGGCTTCATGCAGCTCTTTCACACTCCGACTCGCGGGAATGGGAATGAATCGATGCGATTCATTACTTGGAATGCTCGTGCTCTGTTACAGTATCGAGGAGCAAAGAGCAGACTCAAGCCGTCATATTTGAAGAAGTTTCACCTTCCTGGGTCCATCCTGGCACTACAGGAAGTTCATCAAGATCGTCGGCAACTTGAAGACTATCTATGCCGTCTTCATCGTGATGCCGTGGTCCACGCCTCGTTTTGCACAGCCGATGATGGGGGCTCGGCTGCGGGAGGGGTTGCCACTATCTTACCGAAGCTCGCGTCTGAGCTCGATGTTACCAGCAATGCTACGGCCGTCGTGCAAGGTAGGGTCCTTCGAGTCGACGTTGCCGGGCAGGGGTTTCAGCTGGTGCACTTCAATATACATAACCATGGTCTCAACGCGAGTCAGATTGACGAGATATGTGCTGAGATCGACGCTGCGCGGGTGCGAGCAGCCGCTGATCCTCTTCACTTCCTGGCGATCGTGCAGGGCGACCTCAACTTTGGCCCTGATGAGGCGTTGCTCCTTCAGCGGCCTGAACCTGCTCGAGCCACTGATCCCCGAAATCATCGTGCTATGGCTGCTCGGTGGCTGAGGACATTGGGATTATTTCTTGAGATCTCTTCGGAGCCACCGACGCACTACACAAAGGACACCAACTCGGTCAGCTGCCTCGATCGATTCTTCTGCTCAGTGGCTGGATGGATGATGTGCCAGATGTGCGGAATCCTCTACCATCGGAGAACCCGAAGTATTATCTCGCTCGATGATATCGGACCACGCTGCTCTGCTCACGGTGCTTCGTCAACGTCAAGCTCGCCCCAGATCTGAGCAGCCAGTTCCTCGCCATGTCTTCGAGAGTCCTCTTTTTCGACAACGTATTGAGGGCATGTTCAAAGATGGCGCTGGCGCTGAGAAGTGGTGCTCTGCGGCCGTCTACCAGGAACACTTCAAGGGCATGTTGAAAGAGGCTGCCCGTGAAGTCCGTGACTGGATGTTTGTTTACCATCCCTCTGGCGACGAAACTGCACTGCTTGTGGCCCGAGGGCGCGCACGAGCGGTATGGCGACAAGATCTTCCGCTCGCCCGTCGGCTGGTGGCGACCTCGGCTACCGCAGCTGACCTGCTCGACGTCGGAGGCTCACAAGTTGTCCTTCGTCATCCTGAATCGTTCCACATGTGGACGGATGGAGTTCATATGCGGCTCCTGGAAAAAGAGATTCGTGCTGCTGCTGACGCTGCTGCAGGCTCTCGTTCGACCCGCCCGCCCTCTTCGTTTCGTCGTCGGCAGTTGTTGGAACGCCAAGCTGCGATCTGGGCCCCATTCTCACGGAGGTTGGTTCTTCGTGCTGTTCGGGACGGCCCTCGGTTAGCTGAAGTTCCAGAGGAAAGGGTTGATGCTCTCACGAAATATTGGCGCCCTGTCTTCTCGCGCTCGGAAGTCGATCTCGAAGCTGCTCAGACCTACATCGAACAACAGTGTCCCTCTGCCGTGCTCCCTGACGTCCCGCCACCCTCGAAAGCGACGATTCGAAATATTGTTGCACGTGTTCGCCACTCTGCTCCTGGGGTTGACGGACTGCCGTACGCTGCTTGGGCAGCTGCCGATTGTTGCCTGGAAGTATTATGTCTTATGATGGATTGGATCTTGCGTGGCCAGTCACTCTTCGACTCAGCCAGCGTTACTCTGCAAGCGTACCTTCCTAAGGGATCGGAACACGAAGACCTGGCCTCTGGAGGCTGCATACGCTCTGCCGATAAGATCAGGGTCCTCGGGCTCCGCAACACCGACCTGGAAATTCTGACGTCTGCTGTGAACCGAACACTTAAAGGTGGTGTCGACTCCCTCGTCCCTCAGTCGCAGCGCGGCTTCGTTCAGGGCCGAAACTTCGGGCACAACATCTTAGAGCCCGACGGCTTCAGTCGTATCGCTGGGGCCCACCCGCTGGCCTCGTCTAAGATGCCGCTGCTGGTCTCGTTCGATTTCGGCCAGGCCTTCCCGAGCCTCTCCCAGGAGTTCTTGATGCTTTTCCTCGCTCACCTTCGCCTGCCATCCCCTGTGATGCACTTCCTGGCCTGGTTGTACTCTGCGATCGAAGGGGTCGTGGCCCACGGTGGCCTGCTCCACTCGGTGCATTGGCTCAGGTCGGGGATCATACAGGGCTGCGGTCTGTCTGGGACCCTGTACGCTTTGAGCACGGCCCCGTTCCTGACTGACTTGGAATATTCACTTGAGGACTCTGGACTTGGCCTGGCGACGGGCCTGTGCGGACGATATTGGGGCTGTCTTGTTCGAGGCTCGCGGGCTCCAGGTGCTCTACCGTGTGATGACTACTACGAGGCGCCTAACTAGGCTTTGCCTCAAGGTCAGTAAATGCAAAGTCACCCCGCTGCACGCGTCGTTCACCCCTGACCTTCTGGAAAGGACACGTGCTCTCCTTGGTCGGCTTGTTCCCGAATGGCAAGTTTTCGAGGTCGCGGCCCACCTGATGTACCTGGGCGTTCTCTTGGGGCCCGACGTCACGATCCAGATGCAGTGGGGCGCTGCCCGGATGAAATTGAAGTTGCGTGCTAGGCTCCTCGGTTCTGGCTCCGCCCCCTTGGGAACCAATGGCGTGCTCAACCGATCGAGAGCCCTCCCTGTCTTGTCCTACCTGGCCCAGTTCTTCCCTCTGCCTCCCAGAATGGCCGCTTTCGAGCTCTCTGTGCTTACCCAGGTATTCCGTGCTCCTATGGGTACTCTGCCTGCCTCTGGCTGGGCCCAGCTCTCGTCGCGGGGTGGCCCCAAGATCCCGCTTGTGCGGCATACGTGTGCTGCCGCGCTGTCCCGAGCAGCCACCATTACGTTCAGCGAGCATACCCACATTCGCTCTAACATTACTAACACTACTCTTTCATGGAATGATGATATTATGCAGGGACGATTTGATGATGCTTCCCTCGCGACCAGCCGTACCCGAGTGGATTGGATGTGTGACGCTGGAAGGCACTGGCGGCTGCCACCCATCCTGCAGACCTACTCCTGGCTGCGTCAGGGCTCTGCGCGTGCTGGCTACTCCTCAGACATCCTGCGCTGTTGTGCGTCTGCGATCGCCTCGGAGCTCTTGGTCTCGGGGCGTAAGCTCAAATTTCAAAGAGCAGCCACCACAGCACTATTCGAGCAGTTCGTCACGCCGTTCCCGTTGAGCGCGACTTTCGAGACCAGGCTGGCACGCCACTTTGCCATGTATGAACCCTTCCTACATCGGGTGCCTTGGGAGGCGATTCAGATGCTGCTGCAGCTGCTGCCCACGAGCTGGATCTTCCCTGTTATCAAGACGTGGGCATCTGCTTGGCTCACCAGTTATCGAATAAGTTACCATTCAGGGAAGAGGCGCTGTATCTTTGGGTGTCACGCTTGCGCAGACAGGCAGTGCCACTACATGCGATGCCACCGTCTGGTTCGTGCTGTCGGTCGCGCACTGGGTCGCTCTCTTCCTGCCTTTCTTCATGAGCGTTTGTGCCTGACGGCACCGTGTGTGGAACGAGTGGAGGAGCTGGTGGTGATGTACACTACGTATCACACTGTTCGTGAACGCAATTGGGTTTCCCCTGATGCTCTGAACTCTGCGACTCGGGCTGCGGTCAGAACTCTTCGAATGGCGTCTCCCACTGACCAGCTAGAAAAGAAATGGCAGCCGCCGCCGTCCTTCAGACCGACACCGCGCACGGTCACCGACGATCCTTCCACCTCCTCTGCTGACGACCCTGTTGTCGTCCATGCTGTCTCGGCTGCCGGTGATGGTGAGGACGACTACGACGCTGTCGCAGGCTTGGCCCCAGGACGGTCGCCATGCTTGACTCCACGGCTTGTTCCCACGATGTCTAGCCCGAGCACTCCATCGACGCTGATCGCCACACCCGAACGTGGTGGACATAGCGACGAGTGGGATGACAATGCTACTGGCAGAACGCAAAGTCCTGTGCACGGGTGCTCCTCGAGCCCGTTGCTGCAGGCTCAGTCGTTGCCAATGTCGCTGGATGCTACTGGCAGAACGCAAAGTCCTGTGCACGGGTGCTCCTCGAGCCCGTTGCTGCAGGCTCAGTCGTCGCCAATGTCGCTGGATGTTACTGGCAGAACACAAAGTCTTGTGCACGGGTGCTCTATGAGCTCGCTGGTGCAGGCTCAGGCGTCGCCTATGACGCTTGATGTTACTGGGAGGTCGCAAAGTCCTGTGCACGGGTGCTCCTCGAGCCCGTTGCTGCAGGCTCAGTCGTCACCAAAGTTGCTGGATGTTGGTGGAAATCCTGGCCTCTGCACTTCAAGGATGAATTGTGAGCGTGGCGTCGAAAATAATCTGCCGCTCGTTTGCTCGCTCGGTCCCCTCATTCGCTGCGTGGCCGTCCGCCGCGCGCGTGACTCCCTGGCTGTCCTCTCGACCCGCCCTCTTGCTCCTGCTGATGTCTCTCCTGCTGCTGCCTCTCACCCTCGCTCTCGCACGCCGCCTCCTGCGGCCCTGATTGAAACGCCGCTCTCCGCCCACATGCACATGAAGTTCGACATAGGTGGGCGCCCGCCACCCGCCCCGCCGCCTGCGGCCGCTGCCCCTGCTTCTCTTTCCTCCGCCCTGGTTGCTGGCGAAGCCAGTAGCTCGAGCTTGGAGAGGTGTGCTCAGCTGTTGAGCTGAGCGCAGTGGTCGGTCGGATGGATCTCTCCTCTACGCTGCGCTCCTCCTCCTCCTCCTCCTCCTCCTCCTCCTCCTCCTCCTCCTCCTCCTCCTCCTCCTCCCCCTCCCCCTCCCCCTCCCCCTCCTCCTCCTCCGCCTCCTCCTCGGGGGCCCACGAGCGGTGCGGTTTGCCTCCCCGCGTGGTGAGCCAGCGGCGAGTCGGGGTCGCCGCACGAGTTGTGGACTCGTGGCGTTCTCCGGGGGCGTCTGGGGCGACCTGGACCTCCGGGGTCCCCAAAACCCTGAGGTGACGGACCGCGCGGCGAGGTTGCTGGGGGTTCCGAGGTCACCGCGCGGTCCGTCGCTTTTCACGGGCTCCGGGGGCCGAAGAGCTGGAGGCCGATTCTCTCCTTCCTGGCCTCGCCGATGCGCCGCCGCGGCGGCGCGATCCTCCGACCCCGCCTGCTCCGGCCCCATCGATGTGGGGCGCTCCAGAAAGGGCCTCGCCTGCGAGGGCTCGGCGGAGGTGGCAGCGCTTCCTCGGCGGGAGCTCGGCAGAAGCTCGGCGGAGGCCGGCGGAGGCCAGAAACGGGGGCGCCTCCCCCAGCTCGAGCCAGGCGAAATCCATAGAGAGCTGCCCCGCGCCCCCCCCCCATGGATGGCAGCATCCTCCGGCCCAGGGGAGGAGGAGGAGGAGGAGGAGGAGGAGGAGGAGGAGGAGGAGGAGGAGGAGGGCCCCCGGAGCCGGCCACTTTTGGGAGCCTCCCGAGGAGGAGGTGGCGGCCGCCGTCGCGCCCCTGCCGGAGGGGGAGCGGCGCCTGGGCCTCCCGGGGGCGTGAGGCGGGAGGGCCGGCCGCGCCTCGCGCGGCACGCCCCGCGCCCGCCGCCCGGCGGTGGCCTGCGGCGGGCGCCGCCGCTCGCGCGGCGCCCGCACGGGGCGGCCCCCCGCGGCTCTGCTGCGGCTGCTGCTGCTGCTGCTGCTGCTGCTGCTGCTGCTGCTGCTGCTGCTGCTGCTGCTGCTGCTGCTGCTGCCCTGCCGCCCTGGGCGGCGCCTCCGGCCCCGGGCCTCCGGCGGTGTTTTTTTGTTGCTGGTCGTCTTTTGCCATCCGGGCGCTGTGCCCGGATCTCGACCTCGGGCCCCGGGGCCACGAAGCACGGATCCGGGGCGCAGGACTGCCCCCATGGGAAGGGGGTCGGGAGCTCTGGGGCCGCGGATGGACAAGCCAAGTCTCGGAGGATGTCTGCAGGTGGTGGCGCTCCCGGCGCGCCGCGCGCGCCGTGGAGGGGGTGTGGGGAGGTGTCCGGCTGCGGCCAGACGGTGTGCGCGCCGTGGAGCTGCGGTGTGCCTGGCCGAAGAAGACATGAACATGAACTCTTGGCGCTCCGCGCGGGTTTCTTGGATCCGCGCCTGGGCCCCCGGCGGCGCCTCCGCCGCCGCCCCTGGCGCGCCCCGCGCGCCAGGGAGGAGGGTCCAGCGTAGCGCGAATCCAAGAAATCCGCGCGGAGCGCCAAACGTGTATGTGTACGTGGTTCTTTCTTCTTCTGCCCGGGGCCCCCAAGCGGCGCGGTGACCACACCGTGCGGTGGGTCAGTGGGGATGCGGGCTTCAGGAGGGGAAAAAACACACAGACACAAATAATCGTCGATTCCCCAGAAAATACGGGAGAATATGGGAAGTGGGGGGGAAGACAGAAACCCCAAAAATACGAGAAAAAATATGGGGAATCATTTTATTTGTGTGTATTGATTTGTGTGTCCTGGGGCCCCTTCAGGGGTGGCCGCACGGTTTTGGGGGGCTGGGGCCCGTCTCTCCGAGGGGGTCTCGGGCGGCCCGGGCCTCCAGGGTCCCAGAGCCGCGCGGTGGCACCCAAAGTGTGGGGAGGGTCCAGCGAGTCAGCGAGGACCCTTGCAGGGCTCGTTTCGAATCCTCCGATTCGATTCGATTCGACTCCGATGGATTCCGATTCCGATTCGATTCGATTTCGGATTCCGATTTGGGCTCCGATTTCTTATTGGACGCATACTAGCCTGCCGATTTCCGCCGATTCGACTTTTCCCGACTCGGCTGCCGATTTCTGCCGATCCGACTTATTTCGATCGCCGATCCGACTTATCGATTCGATTCTGGGCTCCCCTGCCCTTGAGTTATGTGCCAACCTACTTCAGCCCTGATCGCCAAAGCAAATCTCGAGCACCAGGGAAGTACCCAAGCTGGAGGGTTTTTCTCGCGTCGGGCCCTGGGAGGCGATAGTCGTTCGACACTGTTTCGACACTTGGTCTGGATGCTCGAAATTATTTCTGGGATGTGGACCTTCAGTACGATGGGAGCAGCATAACCCTTGAGGCGCGCCGTGGAAGGGGCGTGGGGAGCCCCGCGCGAATCTCCAGATGGTCCTGCTCCTCCTGCGCTGCTGCTGTCCCCTCCTCCATGGGGAGGCTCTGCGACTTTGCCTCGGGCCTCCGCGAGCTTGATTCTGCGACTCTGCCCCTGGGGTATTCTGCGACTTGTTGCCCCTGCGACGTGGCCCCTTGTGGCAATTCCCCGACTTTTATGTATATATGCACATATGTATATATATATATATATATGTATATATATATATATACATATATATATATAACAAAACATGTGGACATTCTGCGACCCTGCTTCTGGGATGTTCCTGTGAGGAGACCCCCTCCTCACCCGGCGAGCCAGCATCGCCGCCTCGCGCCCGGGCGAGGAGGCCCCGGACGCGCCACGCCGTGCCTCGCGCGGCCCGCGGGGCCCTCGGCAGTCCCGGCCCCCCCTTGCCCTGCACGGCGGGCTCCTCGTCCTGTGTGGGAGCCGCTCTGCGGCCCGCGCCCGGGCTGGGCGAGGGCCGCCCGAGGCCCAGAGCGGGGCAAGATTCTTAAGTCGGGCCTCTCCCTCTACAGGAGGAGAACGTTCAACAATCGTACAAAGCACCGTCTCGGGACGTATGTTGTCCCAATGTGTCTCGGGACAGTCTCGGGACAGTCTCGGGACAGTCTAAAGAATGTACCAAAGGAGGTATGCTTGTCCCATTCTGTTGCATGTTTTAAGTATTCTTCATTTGTCGCCCCAAATCCCCCTGTAGGGGGACATGTCCGTCCGAACGCAAGAGCTCCGTCGGGAGTTTTGTTTCAATACGGTGGGGGCGTTGGTTCAGGCCTGCGCCCAGGAGGCTGCAGACCCTGGAGGATTCCTTGTCTGACGAGGGCGGTGATATCCATCTCCAGGCTTCGATGGGAGTGCCACCCCGGCCTCCAGACCCGGGCTTCCTTATCGCAGGGTTCCTTTTCCAATGCCCCCACCGTCTACGCGGTCCCCAGAAGTCCCGACCCTCTTCCCCAGGGCTAGCTTCTCCTTCCGAGCCCTTCTTGACGGTCTCGGGGCCCGGCCAGGGCCCCGAGAGGCCGAACACGGCCAACAGCCTCACGTGAGCGCCGCAGAACAACGGGGTCGTTTTCGCCGACATTGCCGCGTAAGCGGTCCGCGTAAGCTCGCGCGTAACCGCCCTCGTTTCTAATAGAGCGTGCCGTGCCTGCGGCCTGGGTAAGCCACCGCGCAAGGTCTCGATGCCATCTCCCGTGAGACCCCTCTCTTGTCGTCGCTCGCGTGTTTTTTGTTCCAGTCTTCGGCGCCGGACCATTCGCCTCCCGTTTGCCCCGAATAGCCACACGCTGGAGCGGACTGCCTCCGCCACGCCGCCGACGGAAAGCAGGTGCTGCTTGTTCGACGCGCGCATGTCCGCAAGACGCAGGGCCTCGATGCCGGCTGGGGGCGGCACAGCGCACGCCGCGGCCAGATCCACGCTCCTCCCTCCTCCTCCTCCTCCTCCTCCTCCTCCTCCTCCTCCTCCTCCTCCTCCTCCTCCTCCTCCTCCTCCTCCTCCTCCTCCTCTCCTCCTCCTCCTCCCCTCCTCTCCTCCTCCTCCTCCTCCTCCCCCCCTCCTCCCCCCTCCTCCCTCCCTCCTCCTCCTCCTCCCTCCTCCTCCTCCTCCTCCTCTTCCTCCTCGTCCTCCTCCTCCTCCTCCTCCTCTCCTCCTCCTCCTCCTCCTCCTATCCTCCTCCCTCCTCCTTCCTCCTCCTCCTCCTCCTCCTCCTCCTTTGCCGCTTCCCCCTATAGCGCTGATACAGGTTCAGGGTTCATTCGTATCGCTCCTCGACGCATTCTGGACGCCCGTGGTGGACAGAGTGACGCGTGGATCGGCAGCATGATCGTCGCCCCCTCCGCAGCCCAGAGGCAGGCGGCTATTGGGGAGCCCTGCCCCGTCTGCGGGGGGTGGCCTCCTCGGAGGGCCTCGTCCCCCGTGGGCACCACGGCACGGGGCGCGCGCCTCCGGTCGCCGCCGCCAGCTCGCGGCCTGCCTCGCCGCGCCTCTCGAGCCGCCTGCGCACCGCGGATGGGAGGCAGGCGGCCACTGGGGAGCCTTGCCCCGTCCATGGGGGGGGAGCCGTGCCGGCTCAATCCAGAGGCCGCGCCACTTCGCGTGACAACCGCGGGGCGTCGTGTGCACAGCATGGGGTGTTCAACCTACATCGATGGCGCTGACCCCAGCGGCAAGAAAAACACCCGATCATCAGGGAGTGCAGGTGGTGAGGCGCTGTATCTTCACTGCTTGCCAAAATTCATTCAACAGGGGGGGCGGGGGCCTCTGATGGGTCCTTGTTGGAGGGTCTTCGTTCCCTGTGGGCACCACGGCACGGGGCGCGCGCCTCAGGCCGCCGCCGCCGCACACTCCGCCTGGGGCGCGCGTGCCGATGCGCGCCGTCCTGGGTCAGTGCCGAGGGGGATCACCTTGTAATCAGGAACAACGCCAGGGGGGCATGGGGCATGGGTGCAGTGGGGACGCACCGGCCCCCATTTGCCCATTCGTCGCCGATGGGGGCCCGGTAGCCCACCCCGCCCAGGACCGTGCGGATTTGCTAACGGGGGCCCATCGCCGATCTATCGGCGATGTATCGCCGATTTCAGCTTGATGTTCCCCTCCTGGGGCCGGTCTCCCCCATAACGTTCCCCATGGGGCCACCACCGCCTCATGGAAACCGAGCGTCCAGCAGGAGGCAGGACCGAACCTCGAGCAGCTTCTCTGGACGTCTTGGGGCGTCTGGGGGCTCTGGGGGGGTCGAAGGGGCAAGTTTCCTGGAGGAGTTGGCAATCCTCTGAGAAATCCGTAGTAGGGGGAGGAGGAGGAGGAGGAGGAGGTGGAGTGGGAGGGGTGGAGTGTGGAGGTGGAGTGGAGGTGGAGGTGGAGGTGGTGGAGTAGGAGAGAGGAGGAGGAGGCGGAGGAGGAGGAGGAGGAGGAGGAGGTGGAGGTGGAGGTGGAGGTGGAGTGGAGTGAGGTGGAGGTGGTGGAGGAGGAGGAGGGGAGGAGAGAGGAGGAGGAGGAGGGGACACCCCTCAGCAGTGCCTGGGTCCTGAGGCAGGCAGCCAACTGCCGCCCGGCTCAAGAGCACGAGGCTCTGGCTCGGCGCGGGTGGTGCGCGATGGCCTCGGCAGCCGCCTCCTGGCATTGGAGGGTTTTCTCCGAAGGGCTCAGGCGACCCGTCCTCCTCCTCCTCCTCCTTCCTCCTCCCCTCCTCCTCCTCCTCCTCCTCCCTCCTCCTCCTCCTCCTCCTCTTCCTCCTCCTCCTCCTCCCCCTCTCCTCCCTCCTCCCTCCCTCCCTCCTCCTCCTCCTCCCTCCTCCCTCCTCCCTCTCCCTCCTTCTTCTCCTCCTCCTCCTCCTCCTCCTCCTCCTCCTCCATCTCCTCCATCTCCTCCATCTCCTCCACAATTACTCATTATGAATACTACTCTCCCTCTTCCCCTGATGGCGGCCTGGGAGTAGCCGTCCC